GTGGGAGGAAACCAGAGTACCCGGAGAAAACCCACACATGCACAGAGAGAACATGCACACTCTCCTCAGAAAGGTTCCCGGCCAGGATTTGATCCAGCAACCTTCTTGCTGAGAGGCAACAGCTCTACTAACTGAGACATTGAGCTGACAGTTTTAGGTCAAGTCCTAAAAATAAATAAATAAATAAAAAAGGCAACGTTATGGGATATCCCAAGGTTTTGCACAATTTGTAAGTCCTCAAAGTGTGTGTAGCGAATGCCTTTCAGCTATACTACATTCAGTTTGTGTTATAAAACCAGTAAGCTGTGGCATCCATCTTTATCTGAGTTCCAAAAGTTAATGAGTTGTAGATGTGCATCAAATTAATAAATCCTTTAAGAGATTCGTTCACATTTGTTCAGTGGTTTTTTTCAGATCTGTTGCTAACTGATAGGTACATGTGACAGTGACAATTGTTGTCACAATTTTAAATAAAAAATGTCAGAAATTCCTGTTAATGCTCAAAATATGTTAAATAAAGGAAATTTAGCTTATATTACATCAAATTTGACCTCAATATCTTTAAAATGGGCAGAGCTGTGGCCAATTTTGTTGCATAGCTGTGGAAACCATCTTAAATTGGTTTGACTCTAAAAAGTTAATCATTAGTAGGTGTGCATCTAATGATTGTTTTTAAAAGTTTCATTAAAATTAATTTGGTGGCTCATGAGGTTTTTTGCTAACAGACCGTCAGACAATACACACACACAGACACACACACAGACAAAAAAAATCTGTCTTGTGCCTTTCAACGGTGGGCAATAAACAAGTGGAAAAAAACACATCACCCTGAAGAATGTGGAGTTCATAAAGCACAGAAACCAATAACCTATAAAATTGTGTTACAAGTACAAGTGTTAAAACCTGAACTAAAGTTTAACTTAATTGACATTAGGTCATGGGTTAAGTGGACCAGTTACCTCGCAGTTAAAATGCCGCCGCCACCATTAGCTCTTCATTTTGTTCCGTGTTACTTTTTACCCTTGACTACCCATATGGGGGTGGGGGGGGTGGTTCCGAGAAAAGTGTTTGTGCTGTTGTTCAAACCGTTTTTTTTTTTTTTTTTTTACAATACCGGGAAGTGTTCAGCCTGTTCCAGTTCGAGCAGGATTTCAGGCCAAGATTATGAGAAAAGTCGGGGCGATTTCTGATATCGTCTATTTTTTTCTTTTTCTTATTTTTTTCCCCCAGCCAAACATCAGGCACACGCTTCACAGGCAAAACTAAAACTACAAACTGTTCTGTAAATTTACCTCTAAACAGACGATGATGGGCCGTCGCAAAACTGCTGCAGCAGTGAATCACTCCTCAGACGTGCCAAACCTGCTGATCCACATGGGTGCTGCTCGGCCTGTGCACAAATACCTGAGCTTTCAAGGACAAATGAACTGACTGGTTATGAGCTTTAAAGAACATGAGAACATAAACTGTCTCATTAACTTTATATTTTGCGCTGAATTTGAGTTAATATAAAACTGGAACGCATAAATGTGGTGTAAATCATTGAGTTTATAGTGTGAGCTTGTTCTCCAGAAAGGGGATGGAAAAGAGAAACAGGTTCTTAGAAAGAAAGAAAAAAAACTGAGAGCTGCTGTAGCTCAGCTGTGTTGGTCAGCCCTCCTGAGAATGTTTTGACTATGCATGAGGAAAGCAACTTTACATACTGTACTTGTCGTTTAGAAAAAAAATGGAGGTTGTGCTGCTCGAGCCAGATGATGCCTACCTGCTCACAAGCGTCATGTGACACATCCTCTTCTCACCTTGTGAATTTGAGAGGACACCGAGGAACACAGACTATAAATAAATAATTCAGCAATTCGTCTGAACTTAACTCTTAGCCTTTTCACACCTCAACTTGTCTAGTTTCTTCCATCTGCGTCTACGTGTGCTTGTGTATTTCGTGTCTGTTAGCAAAATCTCCTGTGAACCACTGGGCTGATTTTAATGAAACTTTCACAAAATAATCACCGGATGTTCGACTGCAAGCGATTAACTTTTGGAGGTGACAGCCGTCAATTTTTACAGATACTGAGCTGAAGTTTGAGGTGATAGCAGCAGAGTCATTCACACAAATTGTAAGCGAGACATCTCGCAATAAATCACAACTCTATCACTTCTCAACCTAAATGATTTTAGTCTAAAACTCTGGCTTGAAAGGAGGTGGATGTTGCACACTCCTTAAGAGACACTTGCATCAAAGCCTTTTATTTCTTGCATCTTTAATTCAGTGAAATTGCTCATGTTCTATGTGCACCTGCATGACGAGTTGCATGTTGTGTACATGCGGTTGCTTAGACATCCTTTCTCTCATGTGTATGCTTGTTGTCATGGTGGCGGGATGGACGCCACGTATGAGGACCCATACGAAGTCTGAGAGGCGGGACCGATGCCTCTCATTCCGTGATCCTCATTAATTAGAGTTATTAGAGGTGCTGAAATAATGACGATCAAAAGGAAAAATGCTTGTCAAAGTACAGTAACTGAAACTAACGATGACGGTATTTGCTGAAGAACAAAGGAACCGACGAACAACAGGTTTGGTAACTGGCACCGAGGAGCAGGTGTGCTTGGAGAGCAGAAAGCAAGAGACAAACTGAACAGCAGGATATTCAACAAACATTATCAAAGTTTTTTTTACGTGTTTCTGTGTACTTTGGCTGATGTTTCACTTGCTTTCTGTCCAGTCCTACTTTAATGGAATAAAATGGACCTGAATGTAAAATGGAGAGCTAAAAAAAAAAATGATGATCAGAATGTCATATTTTAAGAAAACAGAACAAATTCGTCAAAAATCTGAATTTTCATATAATGAATCTTTGCTGCTGAGTTTCTTTCAACTTTTCAGTCTTTAACCCACATAAAAAATGTCGCAGATGGTTGAAATATGTAAACATTGCTGAAAGCCATTTAACAAAGATCCTCCTTTATCATAACATTTAGTTTCAATTTATGACTAGGCTTTATCGCTTTGTAACAGTTAAGACAAATATTTTAAGATAATTAAATATCTGTATATTCAAAACCGCTAGTCAAGAGTTTCAAGACTCAGTGGGGTCCACACCTCAACTTGGAAACCACTAATGGATTAAAAGAGACATGTGCTTGTAAATCCTTCTTTTTCACATGGAAATCATTCAGATGGGGTCAATATAAAGTGGAACTGCAATGCTTTGGTCTGAACTCCTCCTTATTGTAACTCCACAAGCCCCTGTTTCACCCCTTTTCTGAGGTGAGTCTCAGATCAACTCGTTTTGTGGCTGTCTCTTNCCCCACTCCAGCTTCCAGAGCAGTTCATTCCAGTTTGTTAGAGAGGTTTATGTCTATCTAGCATCGTAAAAATGTTTTATTTACAAATGAATTAAAAGACATCAACAAAGACCTAGAGTCAGAGGAGAATGAAGATGAACAAATTGTTTATTTGGCAATTCTTTCCCAAATAATTAGATGTAACAGCTCAAAAAATGTAATAGAAAATAGAGAAATCTGAACAGGTTAAAATATGACACAAAAAGAATATGAAATCATTTATGCAGCACTGGGAAAGATTGAATTAAAATGTTCTGCACTCCCACAGACTCCACGTAAACAACAAATTGTATTTAATGGCTAAAAAAGTGCATTTTGCGTGATATCTGTCCTTTACGTTTTCAGCTCGTAGTGATTTTAAAATGATCTTGATAGGGTTAGTCCTTTTTAATGAACTTTATCTTTTAAAGTCCTTTAGATGAAAACAGATTTGAACAAATGATGTTTTTGTGTTCAGCTGCTGGAAACAAATGGTCTAAAGGTACAGTTTAAAATAAATCCTTTGCTAAGTTGTCTGTCATGAGTTGATACAAAACTGGTTCATCTTGTGGGTCCGGGAACCGTTTTCTGTCTGAATGATTTATAGATCAAAGTCAAGTGGGCTTACAAATAAAAAAACATTCCTCTGAAAATGTCCAGAACTGAAATCGATTGAAATGAAACAAGAAAGTCAGAAGTCTTAGTCAGAAAAAAAAATTAGATCAAGACCCAGAATTTAATATAAACTTAGAACAAAAAGTAAAAAGAAAAATTGTGTTTGAACAACTTTTTTATTTTAATTTTTTGTAACAATGTTTCTTATGAATTTTGTACCCCTTTGAAAGCCTGTTTTCCCACTAAAATTGTGCCACAATTGTAAAGAAAATGTTTTCAAGGGCATGAAACACTTGACAAATCTTCTCTGCTCGTGTCACACAGCTTCTTTTGCTATTGAATCTTGTTTGGTGTCGTCACTGGATTGGATGTCTGAAGAAAGAAAACATTTATTCAGCAAAAAAAAAAAAAAAAAGAGAGAGAAAGAAAAAGACCTCAGTAGCATGTGGAAGAACCATATGCATCTAAAACAGCCTGGCACCTCCTCGTCATGCCGCTTGCCTTCGTTGTCACACACTGCTGTGGGATGTCGTCTCATTCTTCAAGCATCATTTTGTTGCAAGTCAGTCTCTGTGGCTGTGTTTGCGACTCTGGAATGAACAGCACACACAAGCAGAAAGCACTGCTACTCAAGCCACAAATTTCTAACAAATGTCATTTAAGGGACATAAACAGGTCCCCCAACAATAAAAGATTTATTGACAATAAGCACTGTTACAACAAAAAAAAGACACATTTTGAAACGTTTTGTGCAATGTTTTTGTTAACCCATTCTGAATGAAGCACCTTACTGTCATCACCAGCACTTCTCCCCTTAGCAGCTTATGCAGTTACGACTACTGGTTACATAAGACGACTATATGTAGCAAGAGGCTAATCTAGCGCCTTGATCCTAATGCCACTTATCAGATCACGATGACGTTGCTAAATTTAAGGCCTTAAAAACACGGTCTAGCTATAGTGATGGCATAAAGTTAACGTCTGATAAAAGAAATGCAGAAAAAGAAGAGCTGAATGTTTTTTTTTTTTTGACAACTTGACAACTGTTGCACAATTTCAATTGAAGTTCTCATGCAAACCTGATGCGACAACACATGCCCAGGCAGCCACACCCCGTGACCAGCAGCAGCACACTATTATTGTCGAACTTACCTGGAGGCACATGCGAGGGTTGTGAAATGCAGTCAGGAAAATACTTGGCACTAATTCAGATCTGCCAGAGTGAGTCTTAGCATGTTGGAAATTGTCTTCTGTGGGATTTATTTCCCAATACATCTTGTGTTTACATACCTGATGTGCAAGACATGTTATGGTCCCTTTATTGCCGCATTGTAAAAGCTCTCTGTTAGTGTTCTTCTGAGAAAATCTCACTCGGAGAAAATGTGGTATGATTTGCAGGAAGCTAGGTGGTAAAAGTTTTAGCCAGCACCTGGGTCTGTTAGCACAATCTTTCATGAACCACTCAACAATTTTTTATAAAAATTTCAGGGAATAATCTTTAGATGTAGCTCTACAACTGATTAACTTTTAGAGTCAATCCAATTTAAGATGGCTGCGGCGGCCAGCTTGATTTAGGAAACTCAAAAGTATCTTTAATTGAGTCAGTTTTACAGATATTGCACATAAAATTTGATGTGGTGGTAGCTGAGAGTGAGCATGGCAGCTTGCAATAAAGCATGTGATTGTGCATAATGTCTTTTTCCAGGTTTGACCAAAACAACTACCATGCTGTCACAGAAGATGATCATAGCTCAAAGCCCTTTCAGATTTCTGACTTAAAAAAAATAACAAAACAAAGCAAAAGCGCTATTTTTAAATGTTGTGCCTTCATGTTCCACTATCAGCCATTATTAATACTTGGCAGTGCACAAGCAGGAAGTGTTTGGTCCGTGTTCTGGTTGAACGCTGGCTGAACATTATAGGAACAAGAATTACACGCAGAGTGGAAAAGATCCAAGCCAAAAACAACAGTGACTTATAGTGAAACTAAAGAAGTTCCTAGTGAGGTAGTACATCTTTGTAAACAGATTACCTGCTTCCCCCTCTCATTTCAACAAGCAAACAAATATTTTGTGAAAATTTGATTTTCAGTGCCCAATTTTATACTCTTCTTTTCTGCTCAGTTTTATTTTGTTCACATCCAGATAAGATGGAAAAAGTAAGGAAAACTTTTCCATTTTACTTCTTTTTTAAGTATTAAAGGATTAGAAAATGTTTGTCTTCATACATTTACATTTGTTTGCACTAGATTGTGTTTTATTCACCAGCAGCCTTGAACGAATTCTGAACCTATTCAGACCCGAGCTTTATCTCTGTACAGCATGTGAAGTGTTGAACAGATATAAAAGTCATTCACAAATGAAAACCTGACTTTATTTATTTATTTATTTATTTATTTGTGAATCTGAACTTTTATTATGACCTCACCTCCACAATATATCCTAGTGTGAATTCAGAATCCATTTAACAAAATGTTCGGCTTTATTAGAAATAACGTGGTACGACTTTTAGTATTTGTCTTTCTAATTTTTAATTCTTTAACCTATTAATAACAAAGGAAAAACTCCATAAAAATACATTCAATTACCTCAAAAACATTCTCTGAAATCCATTTCAGCATACTTCTATTTAATGTGTCTTTTTTTTTTTTTTTGCTAATTCTAGCTTCTACTTTTTTTGCAAATTGAACTAGGGTTATAAGCGTTTAGTTTCAGTTTCTTTAAGTTTTACCCTCGCTTATTTAAAAAATCATACAGAGTAAAAATTATTTAACCTGGTTTGGTAAATGCTGGTTTCTTCACTATGAGAAAGAAAGTCTAGACCAGTGGTTCCCAAACTTTTCAGCTTTTGACCCACAAAATAACAGTAGCAGAGACCTGTGCCCCCAACTGTTTTTGGATGATAAACATTTCAGGTCACTTAAACATGGGCATAGTAACTATAGTTTTTATACTACATTTATCCATTTTAAATACACTAACCTCACTCATTTGTAACAACTAAGGCAAAAATGTAATTACTTCCGAAAATCTTTTCAGGACCCCTTCTTGATGTTTCGGGACCCCACTTTGGGTCCCGATCCCAACTTTGGGAAACACTGGTCTAGACAGTGGTAAGTGACACTAACCAGCCTCCTGCTGTGTTCATCTCATCACAAAGCTCTGACTCAGGTTATGCAATCAGTTCTGTTACATGTTCCAGCTGGCTGAGGTGCTCAAAAATGTTGTTTTAATCCAAACTGAAGTGTGTTTGAAAGGCTTTTACACTCTCATTTGTTTAATTAACTTTTTACTATTTGCTTTATCGTTGTCCACCACAGTTCTGCCCGTGTCTACGTTTTTGTTTTTTTGTGTGCCGTGTTAGCAAAATATTAGCAGAACCACTGGGTGGACCTTAATGAAACGCTCAGAAAGTAATGAGTAGATAAACACTTAAATGGAGTGTACCCCATTCCAAATGACCACTGCAGCTAATTTCCAACACAAATGGTGCTATAGCGCTGAAAACTTGGTGTGGTAGTAGCTGTGAGTCATCCTCAACACTGAGTGATAATGAAGCTTTCGAGATTTCTCGTTGTCACATGAGATTCGATTTGAAAAGCTTGGGCAGCAGTTTAGCGTCGTCCAAACAGGATTTCGCCCAGCACAGGTTCTCTTTGTCATCAAACATTACAGGTCAAGAGATTTGTCGAGTGCGCGGGTCAGGTGTTCCTTCCACATCCTCACCTGGGTTTTGTTTGTGTTCTGCTCCGTCCCACAGTCGAGGCTTTGTGGTGCCACCATGAAGAAAGCTGAGGGAGTCATCATTCTCTGGTCGCTGCTATTGTTCACGCCGCACGCAAAGGGAACAAGTGAGTGTTTGTCCTTAGTTTGCACACCAAACACGCTCTCAGCTTTTAACAAAGCCAGGTATTTGAGTTGGATCCACTAATTTGTTTATTACCAATCATTTGAACAAACTGATCCAGAAAGTGAACCAGAAATAGACCTACTGAGAAAGATTTTTCCTGAAAAGTTACTTAAAATATCACATTTTCAGAATCCACACTAGTTCACCTTTTTACAGCTAAAAAAAAGAACTTTTTGCTGGTTGCAGTTTAGTTTTATGCATCTGTATCCAAGTTGTTGCATTGTGACAACACCTTACTTTAGAGACATTTTTAGACCAACTTATTAAATTAAATTGCAACATTAAAATAGGAGAAAGAGAGGAAATGTGAGTGGAAGTTAAAATAAAATATTTATAATGTATTAGTGGTGTTGATCGATACTGAAATATCAGGACCACTGATACCAGATGCTCTGATTCTAAAATCCAAATTTCAAAACTTTAATACTTCAGCTGTTTTAGGTATCAACAATGAGTGACTAAACTTTATATGTGGTTGTTGGAAACTACTTTTTCTTTCTCCTGGGTTAGTGAATAAACAATTAAATCACTCCAATGTCTTGTATTCTTTAGATTTTTCAGACACAATAGGTGTATTTGCACAAGGTATCAGTGTTGGATCAGTATCAACAATAACAGCCAGATTTTTATTTGATACTGGAATCAGAAAGGAAATCAATGTTATTGAACATCATTATAAGCTACTTTTCTTGAAAAAATAAATATATAAGTAGTTAAAACTGAGTAAATAAACTCCATTTAATTAAAAAAATTAAGTCAAACTAATAGTACAGTAAGACTAAGCAAAGCTTGACAACATTTAGCAAAAGCCAGCCTAATAGGCAAGTTTTTTATTACATTTTTTAGACACTCAGCTGATCTCAGGTCCTCAGGACAACACGAGATGCCTCATCAGGGGTTTTAGTTTTAACTTTAGGTCAAATCAGAAGAGCTCTTTCAGAGGACCTGAAGGAACTGCAGAGCTCGTAAAAGCGGATTTTATAATTAAGCAGGCCTAAGTCTATAAACAGATTAAACATAAAACAACAAAAGAACCTTAAAATAAATTCTTAATTACTTAAAGCAGAGCCTGTAAAACAGGTGTAATGTGAGCTCTAGCTCTGTATTTTGTAAACCTTGGAGTAGTTGAGCTCCAAAGCAGGTGCATCTGAATTATATCTCTTTTGTTTTTCTGCTGCTTGTTTTCAACATGTAAATTTATCACCTTCACATACCTTTGTTACAGTAGTAGGACAAACGTCAGGCAGGTCATTAATGTATAAACTAAATAACCCAGGGGCAAAAGTGAAACATTAACTTAAGTTCTCACAAAATTATTTTCTTTCTGACTTTGTTTATTGTCCACTTGACGTCTGTGGATGAAAGAGTTGGTATTTTCTTTATTATATCATTAGAAGTAACTGTGTCAAAGGTCTTCTTAAAGGTCAGTCCACATTTCGTGTCAAATAGAACTCAGCAGTTTTGTGAGGAATATGTTCTTAAATCCCAAACCATATAAGACACAATGAAAGGAATAGCATTCCAATGTAAGTCAAATATTTTTGCTTTATCAAATGCTTTATCTTCTGTAAAAATTAACACAGTTTTACTTGGTTTTCTTTTTTCCACACATTTTGAAGTGTTCAGACCAGTAAACAATGCTTGAAAGAAGACGCAGGATAAAAAAAATGAATCCGTTGGTAATCCTTGTACAAATCCTTTGCCGGTGAACACGTAGACATAATAGTTACTTTGGTCACTCTAAAGGTTAAAACTGGGAGAACAGAAATGTGAGGAGTGGCAGACTAATTACATCCAGAGAAATTCTATTTATTGCAGTCTTTTTTTTCACACAGATAGCAGGTGTTTGCCTGCGGCTACACTAAAGGAAAAAAAACTTTTAGCAGATTATTTTTGATGAGTTAAGACACCTGAGAAATGCCTGGTAGTTGGCTGGCTGTTAAAGCAGGAAACAGGAGACAGAGCTGCATAATTAACACATTACAGGTACCAATGAAGCAGGTGTTTTTACCTCGGTGAATACGCATATGTTTAATTTAATCTGCCTACTTTTTCATACTTCATTTTACGTGTTTGGTCTTCAACCCATTCTCACTCCCGAGTCGTCACATATTGACGTTTTTCAAAGGTCCCTTTGCGTCCAATTTTGACGCATCAGGTACCCCCCTTGCGTCATATTTTGACGGGATGGGGCGGAATCTGTTGTCGTAATTTTTCAAAGTGTAGAAAATGCACAAATAGTACCGTCCCAAAGCGTGAAATTACGTGTATTCACTTTAGACATCCTGTCCCAGACCCTAGTACCTAAAATTAACCATTAACCCTGATACGTAAAATTAACCATTTTTAGAAAATGTAGGAAATTCATGGCAACTACGTGTTGCAAAGCCTAAAATTACCTAATGTTCACTGTAGACATCCTATCCCTGACCCCAGTCCCTAAACTTAACCATTTATCCTGATCCCTAATGTTAACCTCAGACCCCCGACCCAAAGACCCCTGGTGGCGCAACCCGGAAAAGCCGCGGGCGGCAAGGACTGACGCGAGGGGGGTACCTGATGCGTGAAAATTGGACGCAAAGGGACCTTTGAAAAACGTCAATATGTGACGACTCGGGAGTGAGAATGTGTTGTGGTCTTATACTGATCTGTTTTGTTGTGTACTTCCTGTCTGTGTTTAGGCTACAGCCTGCCAGGGAAGCCCACTCTAACCAACTGTCGGTCTCCTGAAAAAGAAACGTTCACCTGCTGGTGGGAGCCGGGATCCGACGGTGGGCTTCCAACCACCTACCGCCTCTTCTACCGCAAAGAAAAGTGAGTGGCCTCCACACGTTTACTTCAATGTGAAGTTGACAGTTGAGGTTTGTGTTCATTAAACGGTTAAAAACAAGTAACATCTTACCTGTTGTAGATAGAACAACCTCTGCATAATTCTGTCCGAACTGATGAGCTAACTGTCTGTGCTTAACAAAGGCCAAAAGAATGTTGGCCATCTACAGTTTTTTGTGTTACATTTAGTGGGAAAATATGGAGGAATGAAACTGACATAATTAAAAATAAAAGCTGAAAAATATAAATGGACCAATAAATAAATACACAAAAAATGTACCAGTTCATTTTAAAAAGGAGAACTTTACCGCATGTTTTATCATTTAATTGACTTTTCATATTTGTTGTTCTAGATTAGTTCCAACAAATTATACATTTGATCATATAATTTAAATTTGATGGTTTAAAAAAACGTTTGTTTTTGTTTTTATTTCTTAGAAAAAACATGTAGATTCATCCTAAAAATGGTAAATGTTTGTGTCTTTATTTTCATATGTTGTTTTTACATTTTTCTGTCTCCTGTTTTTATTTCACGTTGAGCATTTCTGCCTCATTATGTAAACAAGGTGGGCGGCCCTTCTTGGGTCAGCTCCTCTCCTATTGGACAATAGACAGGAAGGAGCAGGATCCATGTGCGGATCCATTGTGAATGCCTGTGCTGCTTCAGTTTAGCAACTGATGTGTAGTTATGGAGGTGTGTTCTCCTAAAACAGCTAACAGCGCAGGCATGCACAATCAATCTGCACATGGACCAGGCAGAGTGAAACCACCTGCACCTGCTTAAGCTGCATGAGCTCAACAGCAGCAAATCAAAAGGGGAGAAACATACTGTACATGCAGACACCCACCTTATTTGCATAATGAAGCGGAAATGAATGACGAATGAATAAAGTGAAAACAGGAGACAAACGTAACAACAACCCATGGGGGGAAAAAAAAGACTCGTTGAGGAAAACAATTAAACTAGGCAGCTAACACATACACAGACTCACACATACCCAGTGGTTACAGCGGGGAGGCGGGATATTCATCACCACTGGCTTTAGATGACCTTCGTCACACTTCTTATCCAATGAGAGCCTTTTTGTCAAACCGTTGCGTGGCAACTCGCAGCCACTCATGAATCCAAGCTGCAGCCACGCCAGAAACATGGCGGAGGTCACTGGATTCATCAGGGCATTTTTTGCTTTAAAACTTTTAAAACAAATATTTTGTGCATAATAATGAGATTAATCAAGAAAATATATATATATACAGAACTGCATAATGTACCCATACCGAACCGTTCAATACAGTTCTTTAGGTTCAATACACACTTATTTCGAACAATACAGATTTTTTTAAATTTACTTTATCAACTTGTCCTCTGAAGATGCTCTGTGTTAAAGGATCAGTGGATCTGTGTTCGACTACTCCACCTAGGCTGCATTTTTGAGCATAGATCCACTGAGAAACTTGATGTTTCAGCAACATTTCATTTGAAAACTGTACTATGAGGTTAAACAAATGTTCATAATTAACATAAATAAATTACAAGTTAAAATGGCATGGACATTTCTCTTCTTTTGTATCGAAAAAATATCGAACCGTGAGACTAAAGTATCGAACCGAACCGAAT